TGGGCCTTAGTGCAAAAGTAGCTCTTCTCAACTCTGTACAACCCCTACCCCTGTTTATGCGTGCAAGATATTGACCGAAAGATGTGCAGCAGAGATGAGTTTTTTCAAAGAATTGCGTATGTGATGAGACTCAGCCAAGATACATGTAACCTTGACTTTTAGACACAGCGATGATATGGTAATGTGCTAAAGATGATAACGACAGACTCTTCAAAGGTGCACTTTGTTGGCAAAATCATAAAGGATGGGATGGGGCCCATGCATCGATCGCGGATCAGACTGCGACTGCTCGATGTTGTAGAAGACCTTGCAAGATTGAAGTAATTAAAGTGAAAAGAGGCAGAAGTTGAAAAATACCGACTATCGCTGGACCAGAGAAACATCAGACTTGGTTCCAACAAAAAGCAAACGGCTCGTGGGAAGACTTTCACGACAAGATCGCAGGAGCAGCTGAAAAATTCGTTCGATCAAGAGGCATGTGGACCACAGAACTTTGCAAGAGAGTCTTTGAGAGGCCTTCGTTCAGACGTCGATCGACCAGGATTCATGGTGATGATGGGGTGGACGACGACTGTCATAATGATGATAGACATCGTGACATCCAGAAATAGAGAATCACTCAGTGTCGTTTGGACGCTAATCCAGACTACCGGAAATGCCCTCTGAAGCGGTTTTCCGTGTCATGAGAAAGCATTAGATGACAATGAAAATTAATAAACGAGTAGCCATCTGGTAAATTTTGAACTCAGTTCGACGAAGAACAAAATCTTTCACATGACTGCATTTTCAAAGTGAAAAACTAAACCCTTTTACAGGTACGTTTGCTAAAGGCCAGAGCAAATCGAATCTAATAAACACATGCCTCGTCACTCGTCTATCATCCTTCCGCTGTAAATAGATGAGTATGAATTTGTGACAATTCGTATTGCCACATAGCGAGGATATTGAAGTAACAAGTTTATCATTAATGATTGTTGGCACTGAAAAGAAGATGAATGTAGCGTCGTTAGTTCCATGAAAGAACCGCGGCAACAACCAACACAAACCTTTGTAATGTAAATGGCACACCAACTGAAGTTTACAAATTTCCGTATTAATGCGTTACACAGATCCACCATCGGTGTCGCTGTCGCAAAGTGCTGGCAGCAGTGCAGGTGAAAAAATTGATTGCCAGAGTATATTAAAATATATTCCTGCCAACTATGATGACCGTTAAAACCCGTATACCCCAAAAATTTCGGTTAATTATAACGTACTAGTCAAGGAATGTCATACAAGACGTACCCTCCTCGCTATTTCAAGGCAAATTTACCTGGAAGAAATACATTACATGCATACTGATACGTCAATCACTTACGAACTGAATAAGGACGACGTTTGGGCGATAACATGTGGACCTGGATCCATTCAGCCGAAAGAAAATCGCATTTACCAGAAGGTCAATATCAACCACTGATGACGCAACGGATCTCGGCTTAATAAATTTTTGGACGTTTACATTTTAAATCTACAGCTTAACCCATGTGCTGTTTCTTAGTCATCCATTAGGCAGACCAAGGCGAATTCGACGCATCGGGCTCAACGGTCAATAAGTATCGAACGCTCAGGTGTGCTTGCATCTGAATGAATATTAGACGGTTCCCGTTGTTTACAGATCAACGATTTGCGACTCGTTTCTCGAGATGGCTGCACTAAAATACACTGGCGCCAAGGAGACTAATCTTCTCAGGCAATGTACAGTAAACAAGATACTTACAGCTACGATGCGCCGACTCCTTTACACTGCAGAGCAAAC